TGTGTTTCTGTGTGTGTGTGTGTGTGTGTGTGTGGTTGTGTGTTTGTGTGTGTGTGTGTGTCTGTGTGTGTGTCTCCGTGTCTGTGTGTGTGTGTGTCTGCGTGTCTGTGTGTGTGTATGTCTGTGTGTGTGTGTCTGTGTGTGTGTGTCTGTATGTGTGTGTGTGTGTCTGTGAGTGTGTCTGTATGTGTGTGTGTCTGTGTGTCTGTATGTGTGTGCCTGTGTGTCTGTATGTGTGTGTCTCTGTGTGTGTGTGTGTGTGTGTGTGTGTGTGTGTTGTGTTAGCGTGCATGTGTGTGCTTTCACTGGTGTACACGAAGCACCCATGCATATATCTGGGTAAGCAGACATCAGTGCAGACTAATAAATCCTCACTAACCCATCATCTCTAACATTTAATTCAGCTCAGACCTCTCCGCACTGGTACTGAGCTCACCAACTCGCACCTATCGGCATTACAATGGTTTCCAATCTAGATTAGGACTCAGAAGACCTAGGTGGAGAGGACTGCTCTGCTACTCACTATCCAAACACAAAGTACTTCTCATTTGCCCTTTCCAGGACAGTTTCCCTGTCCAGCTGAAAGACAGAACCATCTGAGTCCTACCCATGTTCTTCCAGAGGGCTTGGGAGAATAAGTAAGAGAAAGATGTTTTATAAATTTCTGAGGATTGTCTGGCCAGGCCTTCAAGTATCATGACTCCCTCCTGCTCAGCCACACCCCACATCAAGCCTATCCTGAGATCTGAGATGAGTTAGACCTGGAAAAAAAAAACAAAAAACAAAAAACAAAGCCTGTCTTTCTCGATACCCTGTTAGCATACAACACATGAAGGTGAGCAGAGATTTAGCAAGCATAATTAACTCAGGCCCTTGCTACAGCATGCCCAAATTTATATGTTGACTCTGGGCTCCCTACTTCCTTCCCAGGCCCCACTGTTAGCAGAGATGTTGGCAGGTGGCCGGGGGACAGGTGTCACTCTTCCCCATGTCTCTGCTTTCTCTCCTAACATGCTGAAGCCCTCTGAGTCTTGGCCCTCCTCGTCTGTTAACTAGAGACAGTGGACAGAACTCAGACAATGGGGCCACAATGAATGGGGCATCAATCCAGCACTGTGCTGGACTCAGGACAAGACCCACAGGCTAGGGCAGGACCAGCCGCCCACCTCCTTACCCTCCACAACGCCCACGCCCACACTGCTCCGACGCGTGTTCATTGGGGCCACGAAGAACCACTCATTGGTCTTGTAGCTGTAGGCTTCTACCGACGCCAAGCCTAGGGAAAAGAGAATCATGAGATTCCTACAGCCAGGGCCTCACCCTGCTGTGTGAGGAACAGTGAGGCCAAGTGGAGGCCAAGCCAGGACTACAGACTCAATGTCCAGCTTGGTGCACCTCTGCCTAGCCTGTGGCCATGGCAACTCCTTAGACTACATAAGGTGACAACTGACCGCCAGGATATGACACACAGGGAAGCTGGTGAGATGGCAAGGGGTACATCTGAATTGCACTATAGATATAAACCATTAAACTTCCAGAGGGGAAAACTCGATCCCAGGTAGAGACCCGAGGATGCCTTGCTGAACACCTCCCGACCTCTTTTCCCATCTTCCCTTCTACTTTACAAGCTGGACAGCTAGAAGTGAACCTCCTAGGATCCCCTGCAGCGAGATGCCACTGAGCCCTGAGCAGAAATCTGATGAGGACTTCTTGAATGGCCTTCTCATCTCTGATATGGGGCAGCCCCTTCCTGCTTCTTGCTACTGGGGACACAAATGTCCTAGCTGGAGTCCTAACTGCTATAATGTTATCATGGGGAAAGCCAAGAGGCTCTTAAAGAATCTGGGCCCAGTGTCCGTGTGCACTCAGACTCCATGTTCCCTCTCTGGATCACAATAAAACCCCCTTCACCAGCACTGTAAACCAGGCTTTCTCCTCAGCGAAAGCAGGTCCTGCTGAAATAGTCATCAGCACCCTCCCTAGATCACTCTCATTGAGGAACCTTCAGAAAGGCGGCCAATAAATAAATAAATCCAACTTCTCCCTCCCTGGGGCCCAGAGACAATCACTGCAGTTTGAGTCGCCATCTTCAGTCATCCACCTGACAACATGTGTACAGATGGCACCACCCACTAACAGTTCAACCTGAAATTTTTTAATTATTTTTTAATGTGGAAGGGTGCTTTGCCGGCATGTTTATCTGTGCATCGCACATGTGCAGTGTCCATGGAGGCCAGCAGAGGGCATCAGATGCCCTGCAGCACCATTACATATGGTCGGTCGTGACCTGCCACGTGGATACTTGGGAGTGAACCCGAGTCCTGCCGAACAGCAGCCAATGCTCTCTCCAGACCCCAGGTTGAAATTTTGAAGTGAGGTAAAATCTGGGAGTGAGGTGCCCATGAGTGGTGGCACAGCGTGCAGGGCTCTGTGGGACAATATAAAGGACAATGACCAGTTGGGCAACAGTGCCTGTCTGAGCCAGGTGCCTCTCCCTGAAGCCACCCACAGGTCCTTCTGTCTAGACTCCAGCAGGGCACACCCCCTCTCTCTGTCTGATACTCTGAGGGAACAGACTGCAGGCACTGGAGAGGTGAGCAGGGCCCTTCCAAGGGTGGGGCCTCCTCAGAATCCGTGACACCACAGAGCAGCTATGGCCCCTGCACATAAGAAGGCTTGTTGAGGACAGACAGCACTTAGGAGTTTGGATCTTGAATTCCCTAGAGGTCCACATTTACGCTGAAGGCTTGTTTCTGGGTAGCCGTTCTGGGGAAGTGGTGGAGCTTTTGGGAAAGGGTCCTTAGCACCGGTGTTCTCCCTTGAGTGGCTTAAGATCACAGTCTTCTGTTGCTTCCTGGATAGTGACTCGAACAGTTTTACATAGCCACACAGCGCCATGATGAACGACCTCAGCACAGACCCACACCGGCCTGTGGACTTGAACCTGCACAACCACTACAAATGCATGAGGCTAGCCCAACAGCCGCCTGAGCAACATCCCCTGGACCTACCCGTACTGCCGTCAAAGCCTCCGACCGCATAGAGGAGATCATTGAGCACGGCCGCACCCAGCGTGCTCCGGCGCTCCTGCATGCTGGCAATGGATGTCCACTGGTCCTTCACGCCGTCGTACACATCCACTGTCCGCACCCGCAGAGAGCCGTTAAAACCACCCACGGCATAAACGTGGCCGGCCATGAACACCACACCTGAGACAGAGGGAAACCAAGCATGAGAGCTGGGAAGGGAGGGGGTGCCTACCCAAGCCCATATGTGACATCAAAGAAGGTAGGTGGGCATATGGCCAACTCGATATGAAGGCCACTCCCAGCTTTCGCTATCTGCAAGGAACTATGGGACTCTGATTTCTTTCCTATTTGTTTCTCTAACCTCACCTGGTTTGCGTAAATTCCTGAATTGGCTTAAACTCACAAGCACATAAGACCTGACCTCAGAGTAAGCACCCCCAACATGGTGCAGGAAGGGAGGGGCAGGAGGTCTGGGGGGGGGACTGGACGGCATCAAGAGGCAGAGACCAGCAGAGAAAGGCTGCTTGGAACCCAGGTGAGTCTGGGGCTGGGGCTGCTTACCTGCTCTGCATCTCCTGGAGGGGAGCTCGGCTATCTGGTCCCAGCGGCCCTCCTCAAAATCATAGCACTCCACACTTCGGATGGCCTTAGGTGCCTGGCCACCAACCACAATCATGACCTCCAGAAAGAAACGCACATTAACTATGTCTGCCCACTCTGTGGCCCTTCCACACACTGCCTGCCAGTCTGCAGAGTTACACACACAGGAAGCTGCTGCCCTAGTCACTGAGGGGTACATATTCAAGAAAAGCCGGCCACAAAGCACACATAGGCCCACACTTTCCAAACACCCCCACTCGGGGAGATACAGCGTAACAAAAGCATCTCCTACAACCTCAGTACACACAAAATGGGGCGGGGGGGGCAGTTTTTACATCAAGACAAACATATTTAGGGTGGGAACCACAGATTCTGGATACATTTTTAAGATGATATTATTAACCATAAGTATTTCTGAGTACCTAGACTGCAGAGGGTACCTATTACCTGCGATAAAGAAAAAAAGTAATTTATAAACACTGCTTTGTGGTGGTTATCTAGTGACTTAGCTGACAGTGCTCTGAAAAATGGTACTTAAAGGGCTTTTTGTCCGCTACAAGTAAGGCCATAGCCAAGGCAGCCAGGCATGCATGGTGTGTTGTCATTTGCTTGTCATTGTGACTGACAGATAAGGAATGTAAAGTTCAGAAAACACCGTGTAAACAGCCAGAGGTCCCTCAGCAGAGGGAGGCAAAGAAGAAAGAGGAACCCAAGCCCACCTGACGCAGAGAGGAGGCTGCCATGGCTTCTGTTCTAGAAACTGTGGTCCCCGTCCACACTGGCCACTGCACGATGCATCAGGGAGTCATGAAACTCAGTTCAGCTGGTCGTGACCAGAATACATCAAGTTGAACAGCACAGAAGATGCACAGCCAGGTATTATTTTATGAAATATTTAGATGCATGTTTTGAACAGCGATTCGTATATATTTCTTGCTACAGGGTGTGGTCAAATCAAAGGGAAGCCATGTTCTACCTATGTTAATGAACTGTGCTGACCTGTGGCGTCCACACGGCCAAAACATTATACATGCCACTCATGAACAGGAATCAAAGTGCTGAAGATAGCGATAGCCTGCGTATTGTGATAACCTGGGCAAACTCGCAGTGCCCGCCTCATGATAACATTACCAGTCCTGGCATTTCAACACCCTTCTTTCAGCTAGCCAACACAAGCCTCGAGCTGAGCACAAACTGAAGCCTGTCTTATCCACCCAGCAGTCCCCACACAAACCACTGGGCCCTACCCCAAGTTTCCAGTTCAGCAGGTCCAGGGTTTATCTTTAGAATTGGTGCACGGTGTCTGTGACCCAAATGTAGGTCACAAAATCTTCAAACTCAACAGTCACTTTTGACCTCTAATCCCTTCCAAAGCAAACCACACACACAGGCCTAGCCTCACTGCAGTGCTCCCAGTCCAGGACACACAGGCCTCACTGCAGTGCGCCTAGTATAGGACACCCAGGCCTCCCTGCAGTGCTCCCAGGCCAGGACACACAGGCCGCACTGCAGTGCTCCCGGTATAGGACACACAGACCTCACTGCAGTGCTCCTGGGAAAAGACACACAGGCCTCACGGCAGTGCTCCTGGTATAGGACACACAGACCTCACTGCAGTGCTCCCAGTCCAGGACACACAGGCCTCACTGCAGTGCTCCCAGTCCAGGACACACAGGCCTCACTGCAGTGCTCCCGGTATAGGACACACAGGCCTCACTGCAGTGCTCCCGGTATAGGACACACAGGCCTCACTGCAGTGCTCCCGGTATAGGACACACAGGCCTCACTGCAGTGCTCCCAGACTAAGTCTTCATGTCCCTTTCCTGCAAGCCTCAGCTTAGAGTCCTCAGTTTGGGGTCAGCAGAATTCTTCCCAGAGAAAAGTCAGATTGTACTTGTTTAAATGGCAGCCATGGGCAGGTCCATGGGGTTGGAGGTAGGGGACGTTCATGAACTCAGCTTCTTGGCAAACTTCAGACAATACCCAACTCCCTCCTCCAGGGTAGCTAGAAAGGCTATGTGTCCATAAAACTCCCTAAAACATGCCTTAAGTGCCGCCCCAAACTCTCAGACTCAAGCAACCCTCCTGCCTCAGCCTTGTGAAACTACAGACACAAGCCATCCCTGTTGTGCCCGGCAATAATCACTGCTCTTAGATAATCTGTCCACTGGGGTGAGCCTGAGTAAGGGCGGGGATGCAGGGGTCATTAGGAGTTGAAGAGCAGGTTCTGGGCCAACAGTAATGCCAGCTGAGCAGCACAAAATCCTCCTCAACACTGCAGGGTACTTGAGAGTCTCACAGGTGCCCCGGGGTCCTGATCCCAGGTCTCAGTTGTCACTGTGCTGAGTGAGGGCTGTAGTTGTGCTCACTGGAGTTTTTTTTTAAAGATTTATTTATTTATTATGTATACATGTATACCTTCAGGCCAGAAGAGGGCACCAGATCTCATTATAGATGGTTGTGAGCCACCATATAGTTGCTGGGAATTGAACTCAGGACAGCTGGAAGAGCAGTCAGTACTCTTAACCACTGAGCCATCTCTCCAGCTTCTCATTGGAAATTTCTGGTTAACTGAGTATGGGCAAGCTGAACTCCACCACGGCAGGGTGGTTAGGCATCTCCCAAGGAGACCACCACTACTATCGAAGGTCCAATGGCCATTTATTTTAGTGAGACTTCTTAGCCTGGTTTCTTAGAATGCGTTTTAAAACACACGCTCAACGCTTTTTCACATCCACCATTCTGCTTCCAGGAGAAGAGCGATAGGAATGCTGGAGCCAAGCCCTGTGACCCATGTGTGGATCAAGACTCTAACCCTGGCTTCGGGGAATGCCCACTCAGGTCAGAGGAACTACCTGGGCTGTGCACACTTTCTTCATGGGGTAAGAGTAGAGTGTGTCCAAACTCTCTTCCACGACAGGTGAGCTGGGCAGAAGGCAGGCCCAGCCAGTCGGTCCCTCGGGCCAGGGCAGGAAGCAAGTCTCTCTTACCCTGGTGCGTGGGGCCGCAGGGCTAACACCAAAAAATTCATCCGAAGGAAGTGTGTCCAGGAGAGTAGAAGACTGGTCCATGCAGATTCTAAGCAACAGGTGCCCCTGGCAAGAGCTGACGGCAAGATGAAGAAACGATAGGAGTCTGACAACCAGACAGCATGAGAGCAGGGCCCAAAGAGACAGTAAAAGACTGGGGAGTCAATGGGCATTGGGGTCAGACACATCTTGGCTCAGCTGTGAGTCCATCGCTAGTCATCCACAGGCAACCAGAGGCAAGACTTCCAGCCTCGCTAGGCCTCATTTTCAGCACCTGCATTATCTGAGAACCTGGGGTGTTTCTCACACGGTGTCTGTAGGCTTCAGTGATACGATGCACTTGTTATACGGCTTTGGGAACAGTGAGCAGTGTTAGCAGGCAAACACTTGACATGGTCATTGATGCCTGAAGACTTTGCTGAAAGACACTATTGAAAATATAGAAAAGGCCAGGCATGGTGGCACACGCCTTTAATCCCAGCAGTTGGGAGGCTGAGGCAGGTGGGTCTCAGTGCATTCCAGGCCAGCCTGGTCTACAAAGTGAATTCCAGGACATCCAGAGATGCTACACAGAGAAAAAAAATATATATATATGTGTGTGTGTGTGTGTGTGTGTGTGTGTGTGTGTGTGTGTGTGTGTACATGTGTATACATGCATATATATGTTATGTATGAGCTTTGAATGAGAAAGTGAGGTGTATGAACCCCAGGGGTCATGGTGAGGATTCTTCTCAGAATCCAGGGTGTTTGATGGGAATAAGATGGGAGAGAGGCAGTCCAGTCAAGGGACTTGGGCCAGGTGTGAGTCACCCTAGTCACCTGCCAGCAGCCTCTGCTTCTAACAGTTTTATCTGAAAGCCAGGCGGTCCAACTCAGGATCGGGCTGCCTTTGTCCATCCCAAATGGCTTTTTGTATTGTTTCTAAAGGGGTGGATAGAGGCAGACACTGAGCTGGAATCACAGGAAAGTGTCAACACATTTCCAAAGGTCTCCTTTCTACCCTCCTAGAGCCTGATTCTTTTTTTTTTTTTCTTTTTCTTTTTTTCTTTCCTGCTGCCATCTGTGGAGCTGGGCAATGCAGGCAGGCTCTGAAACTGAGAAACAGCCTCTGGTTGTCCCTAGCAACCCAGCCTCAGGGAGCATGCTGGGTACCAAAGGTATGGCAGCCAAGGCCATGCTATTAGCTGTTCCTTCTGGAATGTGTTGGGATCACCGGCTGTCCCCAGCCCAGGAACACTCTCTTGTCACCCTCCATAGCTGTCTCAAGGAGTTCTAGTTCTTCCGGGGAAAGGACTTCACTAACAGACAGTCATGTTGAGAAGTGCTGAGGAGAGTGCCAGTCTCTCTCCATCACTCCAGTTCTCCAAGTTTGGTCTATCAGAAAGCCCATCTGAGCAGAAATTCTAACAACCAAGCCAATCTGTCCTTGGAGTTCCTCTGAGAAGCCCAAGGACCTCCTCTTGCTCTGCTTCCTTGGTTATTTGCAAATTTTCTTGCCATCTCAGAGAGACTTCCCAGAGAGCAGAACTCAGGAGTCTTCCCACAGAGGACTGGGGAGTTTAGAGGCCATGTCATAAAGTGGTTCAGAGTCACTCACTCCCCCTCAGCTTAAATCTCCACTCAATCATTTCACCGAAGGTGCTTCAAAAGAAGGGCAGCCACCTTCTGATCCACCTCACCGCCCGCCCTTTGTGTGTGCTACCTTAGTCATTTATGTCTATCAAAGAAAGTAGCAAGAGGGATGGGAGGGAGGGTTGTTCTGCGAGGAGGTAACAGCAAGGCCAATGCCTCTGTCTGGAGTGTGCCCCTCACTTTTTTGTGGTAAAGTCCCTCACTGGAGAAGCAAGCTACCTTGCACTGGAGTCCATGAGGTGAGAAACCAAAGCCCACCAGCGGCTGTGTGAGTGAGGTCTTCCCCAAACTAACCTTTGGACGACTGCCACCATGACCTCTAGCTTGGCTTTATGTGAGACCAGAGCCAACACGATCCAGCTAAGCCACCCTGGGACACCTGCCCATATAAACTTCAAGATGCTCAATATTTGTTGTGTTGAGCCAGCAGGGAATATGGAAACGGGTGGGGCATAATCCATAGGGAGGCGGTGACAGATCCTAAGAGTCAATTTCCCTATCTTCAAAACGGGAATAATTAGAGTTGTGAAAATTCTGAGTAGGAACCGGAGAGCACTTAGCCCAGGGCTAGGCACCTTTGCTCAGTAACCGAGGTCCACTACTGTTATCATTGTGGGAACTGTCATCCCTCACACTGCCATGGGTGGGAAAGTCACTCAGCCCTGCTGACTCCCAGTGTTCTCCACCAGCGTGCAGCTCCGTTATAAAGACAAAAGAAGATGAGGAGAGTTCGGAGCATTTGACGCTCAGCCTAAAACACTGGGAGACTGCCTAGCAACTGCCATGTGAGCAATATTCTGTATCACCGTGGATGCCTTGTGTGACAAGGACAATGACCCAGGAAGAAGTGAGATACAAAGTACCCATCACCCCAAGACGCCATCAGAGAGTGGGAGCAATATCCAGACACGAGCTCCACAGACCGTCTGAGTGCTCAGCTTGGGTACCAGCCCAGCAGAAAGCTTCTCTCATTCTGCTCCATGGTGCAGGAGCATCTTGGGCATTCTCCCACTGTGGCACTTACATTATGTAACTGTCCCACACATCTGAGTCCCCTCCCTTCACCTGAGAGTCTCTTGAAGAATGGACAGTTAGGAGTCTCTGCGCATCTGCAACCTACACCCATGCTGGGCAACTGTGGAAGGGCACTGAGGGAATCCATTCCTACCTGACAGACAAGTGCAGACTGGGGGCCAAGATTTTGGGGGGGGTCTGAGATTTGCTTACTTAATCTAAGTGTCTTCTATTCTCCGATGGTGGCTAGGTTCACTCAGTGATGGATGGTTTTGTGGGCTGCACTAAATATTCTATAGAGTGGGGGGGGAGGGGGTACATCCTTACTATACCCATCAGGGATGGTGGCTAGGTTCACTCAGTGATGGATGGTTTTGTGGGCTGCACCAAATATTCTATAGAGTGGGGGGGGAGGGGGTACATCCTTACTATACCCATGCAAAAACACCTGTGTGGGTGCTGAAGACAGGGGGGACAAGTGAGAGGTGGGAGAAACAGTCAGTGCTAAATCCCATTTCGTTACTTCTTCTTTTAAAATATCTGTCATTCATGAGAACCCTATTGGCCACACTGTGCCAGCATCTGGGCTGTGTGCCAAGGACACCGTGAATAATGCCTGCTGCCACAGAGCACATGGCTTAGTGCAGAACAACACTGCAGAGAGGAACCCTAAATAGCTGTCAGAGCCTCAACCTGGGGTGCACACTGCAGAGGGGAACCCTAAATAGTTTCAAAGTCTCAACCTGGGGTACACACTGCAGAGAGGAACCCTAAATAGTTATCAGAGCCTCAACCTGGGGTGCACACTGCAGAGAGGAACCCTAAATAGTTTCAAAGCCTCAACCTTGGGTGTGCACTGCAGAGGGGAACCCTAAATAGTTGCAAAGCCTCAACCTGAGGTACACATGTGCTCCTGAAACCAACACCCTTGTTCTTTATAGACCAACATTTACATCACCAACACAGCCATTGAATAACCTTCTCCAGTGAATACCCTTCTCCATCAACTGTATTTCCACATACGAGTGATAAACTATCAAAAGTCAGATTTTAGATAAAACATTGTTGTATAAATGGTCAGCATCAATTCTGTAACTAAGTGGTAGAAGCCCTGGGATCCATTACCAGTACTGCCAGAAGAGAAAGAACATTTATAATTGCATCAAAACAAAAATGTCCATAAATAAATCTGACAACAGGCAGGCAAAGGCCATAGGTGGACACTGAGAAACATAGGAAAACATCACTGAGAGAGGTCACTGAGCCTAATAAGCAGGGCAGGACTGTCAGATGATCCCCATTGACCTAGAGATGGACTCCAACCCACGGAATATGAGACGACTCTGAAATTAGCAGAAACCATGGCCAAGAACAAAACTGAGGCATTGGTGGTGCCTCGGGACTTACAGTCCGAGAGCGAGGCAATGTGACCTCTATAGGGCAGACAGAAGATGCAAGATGCAGAGTATAAACCCAGAAAGGTATAAACCCAGAAACAGCCCAGGACATGTGCAGTCAACTACTTACAGCTAAAGGGGCAATGGCATGCTACACACATGTATTCATACACAGAACAAATGAAACGTGATCCTCTCTTCATATAACATGTCTTTAAACCCCTGGAGAGGAGCCATAGGTTTAAATGTGAGGCTTCAAACAGGAAAAAAAAAGTGTGAGTTAGCGGAAGGGGTTGCTTGTTTTCAGCCTAAACTCAAAATAAATCACAACGGGAAAAATTTGAAACCTCCAGGCACCTGCTATTCCAAGCATACTTTGGAAGACAGTGTGGAGGCTCCCAGAAAGTTAAAAATAGTTCTGACATATGATCCAGCCATCTCACTACCACATATCCAAAGAACATAAAACCAATTTGTCAAGAAGACACCGTCAATGTGATGTTGACTACAGCCTTGTCCACTGTGGCTAAGCCACAGCCTCAGCCCATGTACCGTGATGGGACAAACAGAAAGTGGACACAACATGGCAGAATAGTATTAGGCCTGAAAAAGGAAGGAAATCTTGTCATTTGCAACATGCTTGAAGCCAGAGGGCTTAACACTAAGATAACCTAGGCACAGAAGGACAGCTCCCACCTGCACGCATAGTCCAAAACAGGCAAACTCAGACACAGAGTTACAGTGTTACAGCAAGAGGGGGAAAGAAGGGGTTAAAGAGCTGTTAATTGAAGGGTACAAAGCTTCTGTTACCTGTAGAAAGGCTAGTTCCAGAGCTCTGCTCTGCAGTGTGGTGCCCATGGTTAATAAAATGTTACATTGTTGAAAATCATTCAGGGTAAAATTTAAATATTCTTGCAGTAAAAAATAAGTGTATGTGGTCATAATACAAGTTGGCTTGCTCAGTTTGGGCATCCTATAATGTATACATACTTTAAAATAATGTACATGATCAGCATACACAAAATTTTCTTGTCAACTGAAAGAACTAATTTTTATAAATCCCAGTCTTCCAAAGATACTTCTGAGAAAATGAAAAGACAAGCATGGGCTGGGAGAAAATATCATAAACAGCTTAAAAGGAAACTGCAAACTAAGAAAATGCACACATACAAAGGCCTAATGCATTCAATATAGAAAATGCCCTTAAGATCTACCAATAAAAATAATCTGTTAGAGACAGGGGCAAAGGACATAAACAGAGACTTCCCCCCAAAAGAAATACAAATAATGACATGAAACCAAGATCAGTATCACTCAAGTAAAGAGACACAACAAAAATATGTCATTTAATAAAAAATACTTAACACAGATATGCCTGCAGTACAAAAAAACTAGAAATTATTTCAAAGACTATCAGTTGAGGACTGTGATGTACACATGGCCCAGACTACACCAAGCACTGTGTGCCCCATACAGTTCAAATGCTGACTTCACCCATGTTTGTGAGAGTAAAAGCAGTCGGTAGCATTTGGTTAAGTGGCGGCTGAGAGACACATTTCCGTCTGTTCAGAAGATCCTACATATGTACAAATGCACATTTTCAGTTATTCATGAATAAATGTACAGAGATGTCTCCTGAAAGAAAACTCAGCAGGGCCATTAGCCAGAGTAACTTTTACTTCACTTCTAAATTGTGTGCATTCTTATTAATCTGCAATAAATTTATGCTTCTATAATTAAAGAGAGATAAATTTCTTCATTTCAAAAATGCAAGATACCTCGGTAGCTAAAGGTACTTG